ATTATGTTGGAGGTATACTTAAGTAGCTCTGCTATGTGTGTCTAGGGCTTATTTATCCATCCTGTACAACATTCCAGGTTGTTAGGATATCATTCTAAACTCGAATAAACAAGTCGAAAGGGAAGAGCTGCAGAACATATGTCCAAGAACATCCAAGTACAAGGGTTCTAGAAGCCAGTAGCCCTTTGATCAAGAACGCAGACCGCCTTGGGGCTAAATGTAGTAGTACTTACAGATACATGGTAATCTACGGCAAAGGCCGGGTAGAGTACAGTACTGATAGGTTCCTATACTTTATCGGCTGAACTCCCCCGCCACTGCAAAAGTTCCTCCTCCACGTCTTTAAGAATACTTTCAAGGTTGTGTGAAACACGTCTCTGAATTGGAGACCTATCAAGTATACCCAAATATTACCTGAGTAAATCCAAGTACCTAGGTAAGTTCCGCCTGCGCTTTCTTCAATCTGATCCCGGTCGCAACAACCTCCTTGCCCACTACCATCGCAAAATTTCCAAGAATTGCCAACATTTTCCCAGAAGATTGCTAGAAGCATTTTTGAATTACTTTAATCAGGAACAGACCGTCAAATTACTGTTAAAACTAGACGTCTTCTTCGACTATTAGTCCCAATCACTTGCATGAGACTAATCCCCACCGTTCTAGATTCACATCCCTCGTCTACGCCACCAAGCCGGGTACCCCCCCCCTGCACTCCAATTGATCGTGGCACACTAGCCCCTTAGAAATTGGAAATTTCGGTCCCAACCGCTCCGACCTCGATACCCTAGTCCATTCCTCAATCCCTCACTATGTCCGATCAAAGTGAATACCTCTCCGAGTCCATGTCGGGCCAGGATAACGGGCTGAGGCCGCTGTCCAATGCGGACGACTTGTCTCTCGGAAACCCTAACAACAGCGATTTGGCTCGTATTATGAGCCGTGCTGGCATCCAGCTAGCCAATGGGTTCCCGATCGATGATGAGGACGACGACGAGGACGAGGTGGACGAGGACTATGCTGCGGTTGATCAGGATGACGACGCAAACGATTTCCCATACTGGTTTCGTCGCCCGCCCTCCCACAACCGCACAAAGCTGGATGAGCTGCACCCTTTCGTCCAATTGCTCTCCGTATCGAATGTGGAAGATTGTGTGAAAGTAGAGGAAGCTTTCCCCGAGCAGGAGCGTTGCTCTCACGATAAGGTATGGCCGGATTCTGTTAAAGATGCGGAGGTGGAGACTTCATTAACGCTTTTATAGTTCGTTTACCGTCTCACCAGATGCCCCGAGCTCAGTCTGGGACTCTTCACTCTTCCTTTGCTCGCAGAAGGAGAAACAAAACCCCGCCCGACGCTCGTTGGACACATCATCGCTACCCGCACCTCAGAGCCTCTCGTGACGGACCGGTCGATGCGACTTCCGGCCAACTGGAGAAACGAACGTTGGTCTGTCGAGGACGGGCAGGCCGTTGGTCACGAAGAAGGTGGCAGCACTATTGCCATTCATTCGCTTGCCGTTGACCCAGCGCACCAGGGCAAGCAGGTCGGAAGCACATTGATGAAGTCATATATCCACCGTATTAGAGAGGCCCAGATTGCTGACCGCATCGCGATCATTGTACACGATCACCTGATTCCCTTCTACGAGTCATTTGGCTTCGAGTCTCATGGCCCTAGTAAGTGCCAGTTCGGTGGTGGTGGTTGGGTTGATATGGTATGTTCTCTTTTTGGACCAATTACCTAGGTATATGCTGACCCCAACTAGATCCTGGAATTTGGCCCCGAGCCTCTTGAGGAGTGAGAACATTGAAGTTGTATGGTTTTTTGTTTTTTGTTTTTTGTTTCTTTTTTTTCCTTCTTGCATCTTTTCGGCTTGAAGCATGTTAAACCACTGACGGTTTTAACATGCTTATTACGCACAACTTTTTGTCTCATCTCAAGGGGTTATCCTAGACGGGCTTTCAAGAGAAAAGGAATGGAGTTTCTTCGGGTGGGATTACTTTTATAAATCTGGGCAGAAACGGCTTGGGATTCCCGAATCGGTCACAAAAAGGCTTGTGTACCATAGTTGACGACAATGCAATGTATATGAGCATGACATGAGAATATCAATATATAAAATACGCCATATCACTTTGCATCTTATGCTTGAGGAGACTTAAAAAGGGATAGGGCTGTATATCTCAGTCTTGCTATTTGTAACCACATGTAGGTGATTATTATATATTTATCAATGGAAGTACCCGTGGATTTTCCTATATCTTGGCCCTACTGTGACACACCGCGTGCAGTTGATCCATCAATATCCCTATACGGGGTATTGCAGAAGAGAGATGTGGAATGTACACATATGTAGTACCTACATGTGTATGTAGGTTAGTCGTCAGGTTAAATGCCTCTTATCAATCTCGGTATCCACAGGCGGTGAGCTATAACCGAGGATCCATGGATGCGTCATATTATTTTTCTTTTTTCCATACCTTGGAATCTTCCCTCCTATATATGTTATTTGATTCGTGAGATTGCTTCGAGGCTCTTGCATTGGCGTCAACTGCTGGGGGGAGCAATTGATCTCTAGGCAAACACTCAACCATGACCTCCCGAACGTTAAACTGGTCTCGGACGGCCAAATCCTCACTGATCACGGTAATTAAGCCCATTATACGCCAAAGCTGAGCATTCGTTGACTAGAATTTCTGAAGCAACATCTCATTCGTCCTAATGACCCCATTGCAGTGCGCCCGACACAGGTGCTGAATGTCCGAGCCCAGCAAGTCGCCGAGTTCTCGGGCAGCAGCGAAAGCCAAGATCGGCTCGGCCACCGCGCAAAGGAGAAATTGCTTGATCGGGTAGGTGGCAGATCACTTTCTTCTTCTTCCTTTCTATGCTAACGGTTCCATGTTTGGCTTAGGAATTCTTTCTCAGCCTCCTAAGCTCCGCATCGACTAAGCGTGAAGCCAAGTCGTACCTTGCTCGGCTGAAGGCCAGCCCCGCTAAATCGGGCCAAGAACCCACCGAGTCCCCGAAGGAGTCCATATCAGCCTCTCTGCCCTCCGGTGTCAATCTCGGCTCGTTCTACGGTGCTTCCAGGGCAGTGTACGACAGTCCTGTCTTCCGGCAAGATACAACCCCCACTCCGCGCGCGCAGGATATACCCGAAAGGCTGCACTTGGCCCTGATCAAAATCACCACGCCACAATTGCTCGATAACTCTGTAATTAATGGAGTGGCCAAGACTCTGTCACAGCTCGTCCGCCTGGGTATGGCATGCTGCGTTGTTGTCGATCCCGGCAAGATGGACGGTCATGCCGGGCGACAAATAGCTATTGAGCAGGCAAATCGGATATCGGCGGCAGTGGATGAGCAGCCCGACTCACGGTCCTTTCGACTAGACTCGGCGTTATCTATATCCGAGCGGGGGTTTGGTCTACCCACGGTCCTGTCGCGAAAAGTGCTCTTGAGCGCCCTTCGGGACGGTCATGTGGTACTGGTTCCGCCCATTGCCTATACGGAAGAAAACCCACGAGCTGTCACGGTTTCAGCCAACGACGCTGCTCTTGCACTAACAAAAGAATTCGCGGGATTGTCCTTCAATCCAGACCCGGATGAAGACCCAGCAGTCACTGCCGAGAGAATCAGAACTCTGCAGAGGGAGATCTCACTGGACCGTGTCATTGTTCTCGATGCCCTTGGAGGCATCCCAGCTTTCAAGGGCCCTCAATCATCGCACGTTTTCATCAACATGGAGCAAGAATTTGATCAAATTAAAGATGAGCTTTCCCAGGCACGAAACTCTGTTTCTGGAAACAATGATTCTTCAAAACAGGGAACTTCCGAAGCCACTTACTCAACCTTGGAAAGCAACCCGTTCTCAAAGTTTGTCAATCGTGAGCTTGTATCGCCCGAGCAACCTACGGCACCTCCACCACCGGGTGCCGAGGTGATGGAGGAGGTGCTAGACGGCCACTTGGAGAATCTCCGATTAGCCCAACAAGCCTTAGCCATGCTGCCATCAGCCTCTTCGGGCATCATCACCTCCCCGCAAGAAGTTTCTTACTCAGCCCGTTCACCACAACAGGCTGCCTCAGACCTGTCAGCTGTTGGAACCCGTCGACAGCGCAACCCACTGATCCACCACCTCCTCACCGACAAGCCTCTACTATCATCCTCTCTACCCCCAGGCCGACGCGGTGCTCTCAACGGTAGCGGGTCAAACCCATTCAACCCCGTTACCTCCCACACGACATTCGTCAAACGTGGAATGCCTCTCACAATCCTCCCAAACCCATACACAAAACCCTGGACAGCCCAGATGCAACCACGACTGGGACTTAATGACCCTACCATCGATCTCCCCCGCCTAGTCACACTAATCGAAGACTCCTTTGACCGCAAGCTCGACATCCAAAACTACCTTGACCGAGTGAACAGCCGTATCGCCGGTGTCATTGTTGCCGGTGAGTACGAAGGCGGCGCCATCCTGACCTGGGAGACGCCGCCAGGCGTACCAGACGATGGGAGCGAAGCCAGCGCCGCCCGCATGGTGCCATATCTGGATAAATTCGCCGTTCTCAAGCGCAGCCAAGGCGCCGGCGGTGTCGCAGACGTTGTATTCAACGCGATGGTGCGCACGTGTTTCCCCAATGGAGTCTGCTGGCGTAGTCGCATGGACAACCCGGTTAATAAATGGTACTTTGAGCGGTCTTCAGGTACCTGGAAGCTGGCTGATAGTAACTGGGCTATGTTTTGGACGACGCCCGGGCTGGTGGAGGATACTCAGCGCTTCCAGGATTATGAAGCTGTTTGTCGGTCTATTCAGCCTAGTTGGGCTGATAAGAAAATGTAATTGACTGAGGTGTGTATATATATAGAAAGGAAAATCGGTGTTGAGTAGCACTAACGATTCTCAGCGTCTTCTGGTGCTGCTCGAAATATTTATCACGAGAAAGAACAATCCTATACTCTTGTAGAGAGAGACATCCGCGAAATAAAACCGTCACTCTTAACCCCTGGCTTTGAGCACCCGCTCCCCCAGATCGACCATTGACTGACTGCCCACAATATCCAAGACCCCCACTTCCATGCCTACCTCCTTTGACAGCCAATCGCGAACCTCATTAGCTACAAGGGAGTTTACCCTATAATGCGAAGGGGCCATCCCGCTATCAACCTCACTGGGCAGATATGCTTAGCAAGTTGGACAGTTTCTCGATGACGCCTTCAATCACTATCTGGAGTCTCTTTTCCGGGGCCTCGTCCAGGGCCCCTTTGATCGACAACTTTGCAGAGTTGGGGTTGTTACTCTTGCGTCCCCCAGAGCCACCAAGGCGCCAGAGATGGGTGAATAGGGGATAAGATAACAAGGCAGGCTCTGGTAAGTTGTCTACACTGTCTGTTGTCAAAGACAATACCTGATTCGGCGAATCACCTATATGTGTGCTCTCGGGAGTCATCGTGGAAAAGCGATTGGCCATGAAACGATCCAGGGGTTTGTGTGAAACCAAGTGGTTGGTTTGGAGGGCCCGATCACCGAAGCCCTATACTCGGCATTGCGACTGTTCGTTTTGGCACTGGACTTGATTATTGTTTCAAATTCATGTTGATATATTCTCGTGATACGTTGAATGGTTTCCTGGGATTGTGTCCATGGCCTATCTCCAATGTGACGAGATTCTGTTGACGGAAGTCCTGCTCCCACCGCACAGCCCGGATGAGACCTGTGATAAGAGCAGCATTCGGATCTGATTGATCATCCCCGTGGACCCAGAGCATTTCCTTACAGGAGTTGAAGAGATGTCGAAAGTTGGCCATTAGATCATTACTCATGTGAGAAAGGAGACCGCCCTGTATATCTATGATGATACATATCTTTCCTCGCAGTTCCGCATTATGTGCGACACCGAGAATATCGACAATGGTACATTCATTCCCAGGCGGGGCCAGACTGGTACTAAGCGCCTCAGCGATTCCATTGACTTGGGAGGATGATTGAGGTGGTTTCACGAGGATCGGTGGCGCTTGTATCCCCGAAGACTGGTCAGCATCGTCACCTGGGCCAGCAACACCAGCAATCATCAAAGTGCGCTCCGATCTCGTTGTAGTCGCGGAATCACCAATTGAAAGTTCCACTTTATAGAAGCCAGATGCTTTTAGTGTCTTGGACCACCAAGTTGCCGACTGCAGCGGACCAGCTTTGCGGGTTTCTTCCTTGCTGGGCCACCAGCCCCGGTGCAGACCGAGGACGAGCGGGAGGAGGACATCCATTTTGCAAATTTCGACCAGGACAAGCTTTCCCGACTTCGTCAGCAATGACTTGAGGTTCTGCAAGGCATAACTGGCATCTGGAGCTGCATGAACTACATCCACAGCTAAAACGAGGTCAAATGAATTCGCCTCCAAATTTTGCTCTGAAAGTCCTGTGTGATATCGAATTTGCGGTAGTCAATTGAGTCTGCCCATTGAGCCAGAGTCTTTTGCGCCTTGGCAAAGAACGTTGTCGATATGTCCGTGTAAGTGTACATGCTACCTGCCAGACCTGGAAGAAAGGCCTTGGTACTGGCACCATCACCGGATCCAACCTCCAGAACCTTCAGCCCTCCTGTTTGATGTCCGCAAATATCGCCGTATGCGCGGAGCAGCTCCTGTACCGCCGGGACGACTGGTTTTCTGCATAGAAGCGATCCAACAAGCCATCCTGGGATAAAAGGTGGAAAAGATCGACCTCGCCATTTATGATCGAGTCAAGGGGGCTTGCAACACATGACATCAGTTCACCTTCCACGGAGGTAGAAGCACCATCTTGAATCAATTTGTCTTGCTTTTTTAAAGAGCCTGAATCCATCGGCAGACGCCGGCGCGTCTCCTGAAGCCAGAAAAGGTACCTTTCAATGTGAGGTGGCGGAGGGGAGCGAAGTTCTTGGATACTGGATAGAGCCCTGTGGACAAGAATTGCGACCACTTTATTAAGAGAATTAGATAAATCCTTTGCGTTCTGCTCACGGTTGCGGGCTCCCTTGTCGCAAGCCTGGCGGAGATAGTCTGTCGTCCCTTGTGGTTCCATCATACTAACATCTGATTTCCACATGAAAGTCCATGGTTGCTGGTAGTGGCGGGCTTTGGGTGCGGGCCGTTCTAGAAGAACTGTTTGATATTGCCAAATGCGGAATTCTGGCATTGTAGCACCGGCACTCCATCCTGTCATGTCGTGGTGGATGGAATTATGTGAGATTTCCTTGCACACGACATGGCAATTGATCTCTGCTTCAGGCTCATTGACATTGTTGCCAACCAGAGTTCTTTGATTGACCGTGGCAGCATGATCTCAGCAAAAGTTCCCTGGTCAATCAGGTCACCAATCGCCACAATGAACAGTTGTGTACAAGCATCCATGGTTACTGGATGAATGATATGCGGCTCCATTGTCTCGTCAGGCATGCTGGCGCGGATTTGGAATACGAACAATGCCCAACGCCTGGCCTGTTCCATTACCTCGGGAGGCACTAGTAAGGCCTCGCATGGTTGGGCCGAACACCATGCCCAGGGAGTCCAGATACATCCTCATTATATCGATGTCAACGGGAACAGTGCATTCTTGACTGGCTCTACTTTTGAGAGTCTCGAAACTTTGCCTGATGGCGACGGATGGAGCATCCGTGACAATGGGATTGTTATTATTGCCATATTCCACTGCAATCAAACCAGTACAATACTCCGTCCAGCCATCTAAACTCTTTTGGTATGAAAAGATTTTGAATTCGAACCAGATAGACGATGTGCTGTAACTTGACTCCGGTTTGCGCCGGAAGACCATCATGGTCTCCAGGGCTTCTGTCGTGTCTTGGATTTGCAAGACAGTCTCGAAAGCAACATCTCGCAGCCGGAACCCATTGGCAGTGGAACTTGAATCGACCAGCGCCTTGACTGCTTGGATCGCCATGACTAGATAGGCGGCACCTGTATAGATCAATTGGCCTGTGATCACATGGTCCTTGACCCATGGTGTTTCATGGACTCGAAGGAAGTTACTCCACCGTGGCTCTTCTACATTCCAGTGTCGAACTGGCCCGAGCAGATCATATCGAGGCTTCTGGCGACAGAGCAGGTTTTTGCTCAGTCGGCCAAGTAGATTATTCTTGAGGCTGCATGCTATCAGGGAGATGGAGGAGGAAGAAACTCTTGCTATGCAAACTAGCAAAGCAGGGCGTTTATAAAGGCCTGCACTAACAAAGGACAAGCAAACTGAAAGAGCTCAGTCTGCATGACATAAAGAATCATCCTATCTTTGGGGGGGGGGATTCTCCAACAATTATATTCGCGGGTGCGATTGAAGTGTACGGAGGAGTATCGACCACATTCTTCTGTTGGAGCATCGATTGGCTAGAGAGCTATCTACTGGATAGCCTTCACAGAATAGCTTGCCGGCAAGGTTGAGTACCTGGGCCATGGCTGAAGTGTTGCGTTGGAGTGCCCAGGAATATGAAACTCGGCCCGCAGCGATGGGGTTTGCTTCGACAATCTCCTTAGTTGCAGTTTGCATCGCGGGGTGAGGGCCCAGTTCGACCTTATTCATAATGGCGTTATGGTCTCCACCCACCGCTGTGGTTGTTCGTTTCCCTTTAGACACAACAGTGTCAATCAGATGCTCGACGGCGGAGACAAACTGTACAGGTGATGTCATATTGCGGACCCAGTAGTCGGCATCCGCAAGAGAGGAAGCGCTGATAGGTTTCCCCGTGACCATAGGCCCAGAATTGGGCCATATTTAATTTCCCATAGATAGCTTGCCCATCAGTTGCCGATATTCGACGGCCACTTGCCTCACGTGCGCAGAATGATATGCAACCTGGACCTTTAACTGGCGTGCGAATACACTTTCGCCCGCAAGACGCAAGGAGAGGAGGTCCACCATATTTGTATCGCCTGCAACAGTGAGGTTAGTTGGGCTGTTGAAGCATGCAATGGACAATGTCCCGTTTAACTCCCGATGGACTGCCTCTAGATGAGCCCAGAGTGCTTCCTCTCTCATACCGACGGCAAGCATATGCCCCCAGAATTGACGAGGGTAGATGCAACAATGCCACGGAAGTAAGCAACCTTCCAGGCAGATTCACGGCTTAACCATCCTACACAGTAGGCCGCGGCATTTCCCCCCGAAGAACGACCAACCACTTTGTGTGTGGGTGAAAATTCTTCTGGCATAGAAGGTCAATCAGACTAGTCTGAATCACTGTCGAGACGTCTTGGCTGAGATCGGGTTGGTCGACACTAGGTTCGGCATCCCGTAGAAGTTGCTCTGATGGGTTGTTAGTGATTGGACAGCCTCGAAGCCTCAGATATACTTACCCTTGCGAGACTGCAGAATGATATGAATTCTCCATTATGGCTTGTGCATTCGTTCCACTAACACCGAATGAGCTGACAAAGGCCCGTCGTAAGCCCGGACCCGGCCGTGGCATAACTACCTGAGGGAACTGCCTTTTCATCAGCTATAATTCCAAATGCAGACATTGTAATGGAACTCCTCACCTGAAAATGCCGTTTCTCGGCCGGAATCTTTGGATTCACTCCCTCAAATTTCACATTCGGTGGGATTATACCTCGCTCGAGAACAAAGACTGTCTTGATCAGACCAGCCAGACCAGACGCTCCTTCCAAATGGCCGATGACCGATTTAACGGCTCCCACAACTAACGGTGGAAGATTCAATTTTTTCCGTGGCTTTCAAACAGCGCCCATCGCGCGAGCTTCGATGGGATCACCAACCGGCGTCCCCGTACCACGAGCCTCGACATACGTACGCAGTTTCCTCCAGTTTCAGCCCTGACTGGGCGTAGACGCTCCGTATAAGCTGCTCTTGGCGTTTGTAACCAGGGACCGGCATGCCAGGGGTGTGGCCGTTCTGGTTTGACCCTGTTCCTCGGACCACTGCCCGCATAGTGTCCGCGTCTCGAATGGCATCTGAAACGGACTTGAGAATGAGTGTCCCAACTCCTTCCCTGCGAGCGTATCCATTGGCACGATGGTCAAAGCTACGACAGATACTGTCCGGGCTCAGAAATCCCACGTGGCTCATGCGGTACATCATGTCGGGGTCATCAAGCAGGTTCAGGCTTGACTGTATGAAATACCAAATTGGGCGGGATCTGCACCCACTTTGATATTGTAGCATCATCATCGCAGTCTTTACCTCCAGCCGTGAAACGTATCTATGCACCTCGTTAGGTTTGTACGAGGACACTGTACGCATCAAAATTACAATTTTTGCGTGGAGTAACGACAGTTTGAATTTTTCGACGTGCTTTTGGGAAAAGAGAATTGTAGTTATTCGTCATATAGACCTCCCCACGAAAAATTCGTCGTCAAATAAGCTTTCATCCTGCTGTCACCCCCGCCATTCCTTCCACCTTTATTTCTGCATCTAACTTCACCAATATCCCCAGAGACTGGTAAATGCCCTTATCACTAGACGGTGGGAACAACTTGCTGTTATTTGTGGTATCCTCTGCGCCCTCTTCTTCCTGATGGCATTGGCAATATCGGGCAATATCCCACCCACCGCACCATGGTGGGATGTTAAGCGTGTCCACGACCATTACTGGGCCCACATGAAGGTATCGAGGCCAGCAGCATATTTGTCATGGTCTCGGGGGCTCTTTACGTTGTCTATTCCGCAGTCCTCGCACGTCAAATTCTTAAAATTCCGAAATCGACCCCATAATTGCCGACCTTGCGAGTGCAGCAGCATCGTTCTGCGGTTTCATGATGCCCGCCATTGGGGTGGGCCCATTGACATTCTACGACTACGGCCCGGAGTTGACATAGCTGCTGAATGACATTTTCTGGATGGCTTCGCTTTTATCGTGGCCAATCTTCTTGGGTGCAGATGTGGACAGTTGCGTGGACGTTCTTCAGCGATAAGAGCCCAAACCCTGTACTTCGTAGAAGCATGGGTGTAGTTAACTCGGCCACTTCGATTGTCTTTGCTCTCGGAAATTGGAGTTCACATACAGCATACGGGCCCTATTGGCATGGAATGGTGGCCTTGTGTTTTGGCCTAGCCTGGTATTCTTTGGATTGCAAATCAATATTGACATCTGGTATATGTGGAAGAATCTTCAAGCCACATGTCGTCTTCTATAGGAAAGTCTTGCCCGCGACATCTGTTTCAGAAACATTGTTAGGGCAACCTGACACACAATTGCAGACAATGAAGACCGGCAACTGGTGTGAGTGCGGAGGCAATTACTGGCGTTGTGCAGGGCTAGAATAGTTTTGTCGGGATAATAGGGAAGAATTCAGTTAGAAAATGTACTGAGTGGTGACACGTTGACGAACAGAGTAATGTGCATTAAACTCCACTCTTTTTGTGAAAGGATAATCCTATCATTGCCATATATAAAGACAGGTATGGAGAATTGGACTAATAATGAAAGTATCTTTTCTCTATGGCGAAGTTAGTGAAAAGCGTTGAGATCGTGGTGACGTCCAATCATCTGTTTCTGCCTAGCCTGAACAATTTCAATTCGCCCAACTTCGCCAAGTAGTGCACCTATACTGTTATAGAATTGGAGAGCAGTAAGCGTAAATTGGGCTAGAAGATAATATTTTTCCAGCTCAAAAGTGAACCATCGAGCAGAGAGGCCTTTGAACATCAGAAGAGTACGGAATTTTGACCGGGCCGTGACAGTAACCCGATTTGCCGAATTGGTTCCCAAGGCCTTCTCACCAATCCCGATCTCGGGTTTCCTCTGCCCCGATTTGTTGCTCGGACAAGTTTCGGTAGAATTATGGAGAAGGTCTCCCGTCCGAGTACTTTGGCTCCACGAGGGATACACCTAGGCACATTCTTGGTGGACGTAGCCTTAGTTAAAAGAAATCCCAGAGACGCGTCGGGCGTGGTAGAATCAAAGTGAGGATAAGAATGCTTTCACATGGTACAATGCGTAGAAGTGACCTCATGTTGCAAGCGAATATATGTACGAAAAACACAAAAACTTATGGGAAGATGTGGGTCATAAACCCCGCCTGGAACACCCGGATTACCCCGATTACCCCAGTTTTCCTCGAAGATCGGGAAGCCTTGCAAGTTTGACTGGACTGGCCCGGGAAAACTTTGACAAAATATCGGCGACATTTCGTTTCGGGATTGTGCTTGGCGGCGGCCCGATCACATTTGCCGAAGTTTTGCTGCGAGTATGTCGGGTTGTGGTCCGATCCCTCTGCTATTTGTTTTTATCGTCTATATATCGGCAATAGCGCTTTAGTATAACATCTTGAGGATGTGCTAACTACAAATAGCGAAGTCTACCTCCATGTAGGTACCTAGGTAACCTTGGAAGTAAACCCCTGTGAAAACCTTGGAAGCCTCTGCTCCGTCCAAGTGCGCGAATAATGGAAGGGACCCCACATTATAGTCAAATTCGTCCTGGTATACACGTTGATTGGCCGAAAAGGGCACCAAGTGGCTCTATTAAGTGGAGACTCGGTACACGACCGTGGCCCAGTACCCCATGGAGATTTTACCCCGATCTGCGGGCCTCCAGGTTGTTCAATAAATTTCCTTCAGGTATAAAAAAAATCGTCTCCCCGCAAAGTTGTTCCGATTCCTTTGGATTTTAGTTTTCTTGTGTGTTTGTGATACTTTGGTTCTATTCTTTCTTACGAACTACCCTGCCGAGCATGGCAGGTCTTCAACTCAACATCGACTGGAAGTCGAATCGCCGGGCCATCGCCTACTGTCTGGTGGCTGCCATCGGTGCCCTTTGCTACGGTTACGATACGATCTACTATACTGGGATTCAGGGTATGCCATGGTTTGCCAAAGACTATGGAGAGAAAAACGCAGATGGCTCTTACTCGCTGGGAACATCCTTCCTGTCGCTGTCTGCGAGTATCATCTATGTGGGAGAGTTGGTCGGAGCCATTGCCGCTGCTCCCATCAATGACTTTTTCGGCCGGCGTGCCGTGTTCCTGTCCGCCTCTCTTTGTATTGTCGTCGGAGCCATTGTGCAAGTGTGCTCATTCGGATCTGATCCAGTCTTCTATGTCAGCCGTGTCTTGATTGGTCTGGGCGTCGGGCAGTTCACCGCCACTTGTCTGATGTACATTGGAGAGGTGGCACCCTCTGCCATCCGAGGTCCGGCTCTCATGTGCTTCCAGTTCATGCAGTCCATCTCGCAATTAGTTGGAGCCTGTGTCAACCAAGGCACGCAGAGTATTGCCAGTGCTCAATCCTACCGCATTCCCATGTGCCTGCTCGTTGTTCTTCCCGGTATCATGCTTCTGTGTCTTCCTTTTACACCGGAAAGCCCGGTTTGGTACATGTACAAAGGCAAGCGTGAGCAAGCGATCAAGGCCCTCCGCAAGATCAACCGCAGCTCCCGCGACTACGACCCCTCCGCAGACATCCAAGCCATTGACGATCAAGTGCAAATGGAGCGTGAAATGGCCAAGGATGCTACCTGGCTCTCGCTCATCACGGATCCTATTGAGCGCCGCAAGCTCTTCTACGCCTGCGGCGCCATGTTCGTCCAGCAGATCAACGGTATCCAGTTCTGGTACACCTATGGCGTGGTGTTTGCGCAGTCGATCGGCGTCGCGGATCCTTTTACTATTAACACCATCATCTACGTCCTGCAAATCATTACCGTTGGCGTAGCAGTCGTCCTGGGAAACAAGATCAAGCGCCGCACCAACCTCCTTCTCTGCTCAACGGGTATCTTTGTCTCCCTCATCGCTGTCGGCGGTCTCGGCACCACCCGATCTCCAGAGGGCACCTTCGGCGAGGTATCGGCATCGGCATCGTTGTCCTCGCCTATATTAATATTATTTTCTATAACTTCTCCATCGGTACCCTGTCGTACTCCATTGCGTCGGAAATGTCCGTCGGCCGCAACAGAAACAAGATCACCGCCTGCGCCATGGGCGTCTTCTTCCTCACAGTCTGGCTCATGGTCTTCACCAGCCCCTACATGTACTACACGGGTAATTTGGGTCCGATGATCGGCTTTGTCTATGGCGGAACAACCCTATTTTTGCTAGCGTATTCGTGGTTCTGTGTCGGTGAGACCGCGGGTCGCAGCAATGCGGAGATCGAGAGGCTCTTCCAGGACAAGGTTCCCGTTCGTCAGTGGGCGACCTATGTTATTCCTTCCGATGATGTGGCAGTTATGAAGAAGCAGGGCACCGAGGATGAGCAGATTGAGATGGCATGAGTTGTATAGTATAGATCTACTGTGTATGGACGTTCATGTTGCCTGTCCTTTTCTTCTGTATGAATATTATTATTTCATACTATGATTTTTTTCCAATTTTGTAAATTTTCTTTCCTAGATCGGCCTTTATGAATATTAAAAAAACTAACATTTGTCATTTCTGATTTATACACCAAAATTGGGGGGGGAGGGGGTTCGGGATCACGTGACCTCTTGACTGATGCTGCACACATTAGCTAGTTCTCCATGTAGATAGTTTCTCTCTTCTTCACGCATCTATCACATTTTCCAGAGTGTCCTACCTTTCATAGTAACATCTCTCTCAAAGATATAGCCTAATAATAGCGTTTTCTTGATAGTCTAGCAAGGTATCAATAGATCGGTAAGATCTTTGATGAAACAAAGGGGAAAAACGAGGGCCTTATAACCTGTTGAGGGCTACGATACTGGAGATGCGCTAGTGAATACTAGCGTAGGAAAAATTGGGCAAGAGAGGTATGATATTAATCTATGGAAAGCAGGCTGTATATGAAGCCTGTACTAACAGAGAAATGGCAAACTAGCAAAGAGCTCAGTCTGCACAAAGAGACAAAGACATCCTATACATGTCAACATCTGTTAAGAAAAAGGACACCCGGGGCCATAGACATGGCACGAAAGTTTAAGTTGCAGGACTATTCGGATAGCTCCAACCAATTCATATACTGTTATCATGTGTGATGCCTATTACAGAAAGTGAGTTTGATCACCACTACCTCCTTGTAGACAAGAGTGCGAAGGTGTATTCCAGCCAGAGGTCAGAAACATATTAGTATAAGAGGCTTCAACGCCTAGAATCGGGAGGGTTCAAAAATTTGGTATGGTGGGAATAGCATCAATATTACCCGGGAGGGAGGCTTCTATTTGAGAGCTTCATTTACAAACACTATAAGAGCGGTCCCAAAAGACAGTATATAATCAAGCATCTCAAGTAATCCCCAGGCTGTGGAAAAAACCCAGCCTCTTTCACCACTAGCCCATAACAAAAAACTTGATTCCTATTTAGGGCCTAGAGGGAGCCATATCCCAGTCTGACACAAGCACCAATATTAGTAATAATTAGTTTCCGACCTCTGGCCGGCATACACCCTCGCACAAGAGTGCCTCTGTGGTGTGACAGGGATATTAAGGTTCCACTAAAGGGTTCAAAACGGCCCCGGTTGTCCAGCTTTCCTCCGTAATAGCACTACACACGTCACACACCACAAAACTTCTATAAGTAGGTAACTATGGCCATAGTTTCTCTTTTGGTTCCTATTCTAATTCCAGCCTCCTCAGCCTTCCAGAGCAGTTCAATACAATACATTCAATATACATCAGAGATGTCTATATCATCTTTTGACACTCTTCTCTCTCTCTTCATTCCGCTTGCTTTATATTCCGTCGCGTTAGTCCTCTACCGTATATATTTGCACCCTTTGGGAAGGTTTCCTGGCTTGAAGCTCCATGCAGCTAGTGCTATTCCTTGTGCCTACTCCATGGTGAAAGGCCGCCTTCCATTCCAGAACAGACTCTTGCACGAAATATATGGGCCTGTTATACGCATCTCACCGAATGAGCTTAGCTTTAACAGTGCCCAAGCATGGGAGGATATCTACGGCTTCAAGCCAGCGGGCCATTCCAGGCTACCACGAGATCCCATTCATATTGGATCAGTGGATCCGCTTAAAGGCGTCTATCCCATGACCTTGCTAAACGGTGCCGAGCATGGCCGTCAACGCCGGGCGTGGTCCTATGGATTCTCCGACAGAGCATTACGAGAGAATGAGGAGCAGATCAAAGGTCATGGAATACAGATACAGGGTAAATCAGTATGAGAAACAATGTATGTATTCGGAGTGGACGAAGAGGGAAAAAGAGAGAGAGAGCGCAGGCAAACTATCTGGGTTCTATCATACATGTGATGCCTCAGGCATCCAACATCCCCCTCATAGAACCTGCATAGCATCCTCTATCAAAACCTCCAATTCCAGCATACATAGTAAAAACTCATCTTATCAGTGCATGTTTAGGTCATCCCAATTAGCCGAGTAAAGGCCTCGAATTGGTCTTTTCTTAGAGCTTTTGTAAACCCGTCTGTAGCATTTTTCTTCGTATCAACACGTAGGATCTCAACATGGCCCTATATAACTACGTCTTTAACGAAGAACTATCTTAATGTTAGCCACCGATTTGCTGATTTGCCTCCCTTCTTTAAAAGAAGAAGTTATAAGTTGATATTATCTATATGAATCTCTATCGGTCGATGTTCGGGTAGTATAAACGACTGTGCGACTTTGTTTAACCATATCGTATCTCGGCAGGGTTAATCTAGCGTACACTATTCAGCAACCGTTATCGAATTGGTAGTGATCGTCTATTTCTTAGTAGACCATATCACTAGTGATCTAGTAAGATACTAGATACTTCTCTCGGTAGATTTGCTATCATCCTAGTCTATATATGAGGCGTCTATATATATATAGAAGCGAAGTTTATCGGTACGTCCTAGTACGATCCCGATATCTAGACGTCGGTGTAGATACTTTACGATATATAGTATTACTTCGAAATCTACGAATATAGGCTTTGCTAGCCTATATTACAGTCTTATTATAGCAAAGCGGATATCTAGTCTAGTCTTAACGGCCAGCCAGTTCAATATCCCAATAATAGATTGGTACTGATCAAAAGCATTATCATCTAGTACATTTATAGTATTAGCTTATATTTCTCTCTATATAGCGGGCAGCGGTATATCTTTCCATCTAGACATATTGGCAGTACGAAGCACCTTCTATATATAGGCTATCTATATTATAGTGATTGTCCGATTCTCGTAGTCTCTATCGAGCGCGCAGTTCAGATACTACTTCGGCTTACTAAGATCCTTTATATTATAATATTGACGGAGCTTATCGACAACCTACTAAATGTCGTTATCTAACGGTACTACGATAATAAAATCATCCACGTATATTATTATAATCGTGATATTTATACCTTTGCCTTTCACGTAGATATAGGGGTCATCCTCGTACGGATAGAAGCCAATCTAACGAAGCTTACTATCTATTTCCTCGTTCTATAAGTATACTAAGTCTCTCAGTCCGAATAGAGCTTGATTCAGCGTGCATACCTATTAATTTTTATCACCCTCAGCATCGGAGTGTTTAAATCCGGTAGGCTATCTTATATAGACTGTCTTAGCATCCTCACGCGATATATTAAGATATATAGCTGTGAAATCAACCTATCTCCACTTTAGACCGTAGATTGCGATTAATATAAATACGATTTTGATTATACATTTAGTAACGATAGGGGCGTATATTTCTCCGTCGTCCTTATCCTAGAAATTACCGTATATAACCTAGCGAGCTTTAAACCCGTAGACTTTATCTCTAGTATTAGTTTTAACTATAAATCTCTATTAACCTAGTAGGATTTTAGCCTTTAGTGGCTTAAGAATTAGACTCTATATACCCTTTACTACGAGATTATCAAGCTATTTTTATATAGTATCTTCCTATTGAGGCTAGAAAGGGCTTTTCTACGCCTATTTATATATAGAAAGTAGATTAATATCCTTTATATAAAGTAGCTTACTATCGTAAAGAAATGGCTTATTAATATCGATAATGTCTATCGCTACTATTACACTAGCACTAGGTCCTATAGACCCCTATCCTCTACCTTCCGTTATATTATTACCGCCTAATTCCTTCGCTTTTGCTCTTTTAGTAGTTTGTTAAATATCGCGGTCTCGTTTCTCGTACTCGACGGCGAGATACTTTTACTATAGATTGTGATAGCGGTTAGGGGCGATTCCGATATTCGTATATCTCGAACGGCGAGATAGGGGTAGGGGAGCCGGCGTGGCTATATCTTAAGTGATAGTGTCCGGCGAGGATTTAATTGAGATAATCTTATATCTTAGTGATACCTTAGATCTCGCTATAACCGGTATGTTTTTACTATTTAATACTATCTCTATAGCTTATATGATCTTACGACTCGGTGATATACTAGCTTACTATATAGAGATAGTGCGCTATATCTTATTTTGTAGAGAAATAGTTTACTAAATTAGAGACGAGAAGGGGTATTAATAACCCACTCTCTATTACTCCGGAGAAGGTGTTATATCATCTAATCTAGCTATCTCTAAACTCTGATCGGAGATAGTCCTTTCCTTAATATCGCGAGCTTCTCTACAAACGTCATCTATACTCTTAGCAATACGAGAGACGTTTTCTATTAAGGCTCGAAGTCTCTTCCTAAAGTCAGCTCTCCTCTACTATATATTAGAGGTCTGCTACTTATTTTTATTAGGTACATTTGTAATATTAGCGATCCTTACTCCTATTATAAGAGGCTCCTCTTATATAGTAGGGAGACGAGTTTAAAAGAGCTTATACTATCGCTTCGGGGGCGGAGCAATAGTCTTTTACTATTACAGTTTTTTACACGGTATCTCTAGTATTATAGAGACGCTTCTATAAATAGTTAGAAGATAAATTATTAATAGTATAATAGGCAATTATATAGTCCTTTATATAGGCGTCTATACGGGTAGCGTTCTTATAATCTATTATTATATCTCCTTAGGTTTCGAGTCATTATAGTCAAGCGAGATTGGCATAAATCTAATAGCATTATCGTTATTATCATCTAGATCCTTAGGACTAGGTATAGGCTACACCGGTATCGGTCCTATACTATCTTTATCACTAGGCTAAGGAAAACTAACGTCTCGAGAAACTACCACCTTTCTCGCAGTAGGATCCTATACTTTAAAAACATATCCACTATCCCCTTTATAGCCTATAAGTATATCTTTCTAGGCTCTAGAGCAGCTTTCCTAGCCTATACACGCTTAGCCTTAGGAATATACACGTATATAGTGGATCCCTATAGTCTAAGATATTTTAGTAAAGGCTCTAGGTTTAGAATATCGAGTTCTTAACGCTAGTACGTTAGTAGAGAGATCTTAGTCTTCGGATTAACTAGTCTATTATAAATATAAATAGTAGTCTCTATCGCGTATAGCTATATTTCTTCCGGTATATCTATATCTAGAATTATCGTACGTTATATGTCGTTAATATATCTACCGAAACGCTCTACTATACCATTCGGCTCTATAGTGTATAGAGGTGTGATCTCGAAAGTCATTCCTCGCTTCTTACCCTATTTGATAAACTCTTTAAACTCTATACCGCCGTCTATTCTCTAGATACTAGGGTATCTACTAGTTAGCAGCTTTATCTTCTTATAAAAAGCAGCGAGCTTATAAAAAGTATCGCTCTTAGTCTTTAGTATAATTCCCTCGATTAGACGAGTAGCATTGTTAATAACTAGTAACTAGTAGTTCTCTCTATTTAGTCCTAAAGGCTTTATTAGCTATATATCGATATAGAATTTCTATACTACGTCTTACACTCTAGCTTATAGTTCTCGAGATATCTTTTACTTTAATTTGCCACGAAAATAGGCGTTATAGTCAAAATGCTCTATACTATACTATTCGTGTTTATCTAGCTGCTCTATATACTCTAATATAGTAGTAATACGAGCTTTTCCGGTATAACTAAGACGACGGTATACTTTATAAGCTATCACTTTATTAATAAGTCCGGTATCGTTATCGTCCGAGCTAGAATCAGAATCAATCTCGTTAGGATCATAATCAATCTCCTTCGGATTAATAAGGTATAGAACGCCGTCCGACGTGTCTATATAGCCGAGAATATCTCTAGTGCTATTAGTTAGGTATTTAGTGCGTATATCGTACGAGATATCTTACTCTTCTAAAAGCTTTACTATACTAATAAGCTTCCTATAACCTCTAGGGCTATAGTATCTAGTTATTATAAAAGTGCACGTTTTTCCACCTAGCCTAGGGAGAGTAGCTCTCACTATGATTTCTCTATAGCCTAGCGTAATTACCTTATTACCTAAGTAGTCCCTATACGTATATACCACGTCGGGGTGATCAATTTGATACGTATAGAAATCTTTAAGATCGTATATTATCGTTCTAGTAGATCTAGTGTCGAGTAACCAATCGTTCGTCCTATCGATAGAGCTAGAGCTTATAGCGGTAACGACCATATTATTCTAGCCTTTAGAGCGCTAAGCTTTTTAGATTTATTTCGAATAGGCCTATAGATTGCCTAACGGTTCCCACAAAGCTAGTAGGTTATCACTAAGATATACGTATCTCTTAGCGGGGTGCGGTCCGAAACTGTAGAAAGCGTATATCTCGCTATCGTCCTTCTATTTACCGTTACGTATTTCTCGCGTATAATTATAAATATCTTTGCCGTTAGTAGGCTGCTTACGAAGGCCTTTCTTCTTCTTCTTACCACTTATAGTATTGCTATTATTATCGATTGTATTAATATCTTTAGTAGGCTAGGTGTTATTATTATTATTACTATTATTATAACCACTTTAGCTACCTCGGTTTCCTCTATAACTACCTCTTCTACCTCCGCGGCCTCTGTCTACGGACTAAGCTATATTTATAATACCTTCTATATTAGCTATAGCTTATAGTGCTCTCTAGTATTCTTCTACTTTATTATAGCTTAGTTTCTTAGATATAAGACCTATAACTTCCTCCTTAATAAACTGTACTTTCTTGATTTCGAGTTCTAGGTTCTAAAGGACTTATAACAATACGTGGACTAGATAGGGTTCTGCTTTAAATCTAGTAAGAATATAGTATTACTTTTAGTACTCCTCGATATACTCGTTTACCGAGCTATAGTCCGATCGCTTTATCTTATCGAACTTACGTATCTCTAGAAAAGCTATCTAGATCCGATCGCTTCCTTATATTATCGTTATAAGTTCGTTATATAGGCTGTCTGCGTACTTCGGTATCTTTAACAAATTCCTAAGCTTATTCTAAAGTGTTATATCGATCTAATTATATATCTAACTAGCGATAAGACGAGACTAGTACTTCTATCTTTTATACGAAGGGTACGACTTTAAAGGACGAGGTATCTCGCTATTAAGTAACCATTCCAAAGCGTAGGGGGATTAGCTAGTAAGCTAAAGCCTACTTCTATCCGCTAGGGTCTATATCGTTATACTATAGCATCCTAACCTTCTATATCTTCGTTATCGCGATCTTAGGCAGACTATATCCTTAGTGAGACGGTTTCTTATCTTTATTATCACTATCGTCGTTATTAATATCGGTAAATCGGATCGGATTGTTTAATGATAGGATTGGATCATTTCGTGATTAAGAAGCATTCGTAGTTTGCCTCTATAAAGCGGGGTTTATAGGGTTTAACAGGTTAGCTATCGCATTGAGAGGGTGAGGGTTGGTATCCCCCTTATTATCCGTGTCGACGTTAGCTATGGTTGAATTGTAAAGCTAAACGGAGCTTTTGCCGGCGGGCCGAAGGATTCCTAGACTTGATTGGTCTGATCCGGGTCCGTGTAGAGTTTTCACGTATAAAAGTGGGGTTCCTATAGGGACGGGATCGACGACGAGATCCGGGTGAAAGCTTCAGAAAAACGAGTTGCTAGTGGTCCGAACTAGCAAGAGAGGCTCATAACCTCATGGAATACAGATATAGGGTAAATCAGTATGAGAAACAATGTATGTATTCGGAGTGGACGAAGAGGAGAAAGAGAGAGAGAGAGCGCAGGCAAACTATCTGGGTTCTATCATACATGTGATGCCTCAGGCATCCAACAAAAGGCCATTTGGTTAAGCTCATCAATCATCTACGACAGCGAGAAGGCGAAGAAGTAAACCTGTCTCGTTGGCTCAGCATGACGACGTTTGAAATTATTGGCGATCTTACCTTCGGAGAGCCGTTCGGCTGTTTAGGAAAAGAAAATGACGAATCATGGTACAAGTTGAACTACGCAACATTCAGAATGGCCGCCTTAGAGCAGGCTACCCGTCGCTTAGCTAAAGCTAACTCATGGGGGCAACGGTTCTTGATGGCATTAATCCCCTATTCATGGAGACAGCTACGATATGACCATTTGGCTTACAGTCGCGACAGGGTACTGCGACGTCTGGAAAATGAGGAGCCTAAACGAGCAGACTTCATCGGCTATACTCTTAAGCATCGAAACCAATTTAAGTTAAACGATGCTGAGATCATCGTGAACGGGGCCACTTTTATTGCAGCTGGAAGCGAGACCCTATCCAATCTTCTTTCTGGCCTAGTCGCACAGTTGCTTTACAACCCAGAAAAATACGAAAAGCTGCGCCACGAGATCCGTTCATCCTTCAGTAAGTCTGAGTGGATCAATCACGACCAAGCCATTAAACTCCCTTATTTGAACGCTTGCATAGAAGAGGCTCTTCGATTAAAACCTCCAGTTGGCGAGGGTCTTCTACGACGTGTACCTGAAGAGGGAGCCGTGATCGATGGACATTGGATCCCAGGAGGCACATCAGTCTCAGTTGACCCATGGGCCGCGTCACATAATGAAAGCAACTTCCGGGACTGTGATGACTTTGTCCCCGAGCGATGGTTAGCAGACAAAGAACAATACTTTGCAGGTGATAAGAGAAATGCCACGCAGCCTTTCTCGCTTGGGCCTCAAGGGTGTCTCGGAAAACAGCTGGCCTACATGGAGATGAGGCTAGTTATGTGCTATTTAATTTGGAACTTCGACATCCAGAGCACGGATGGAGCATGGCAATGGGACCCCGCTGGGCAGATGAAGAATCTCAGGATTTATGTCGTGTGGGAAAAGCCACCATTGAATGTGAGGCTGAAGTCAGTCACTGTATAAAGCCGCCATCATCACATACAGTTGCGTGGAATCACATACGCGGCCTTGATCGCCTGGTTCGGGTAGTCTTAGTCGGCTCATTCCGGCTGGCTGCAAAAGTTCGAAGGCCAAGTGGAATGGGGAGACTAGACCGCGGCTGCATCCTGGCCTCAAGGACGATGCGTACTTATCTCGGGATTTGGATTATTTACAGGGCCGCTTTGTTTCTTGTGTTTATAAGTGCTGGGGAATCTATCCCATGGGAGGCGGGTGAATCAGCCTCACCCGAGTTTACAATACTTTATGGTGAAGCCTACAGTACGTAGGATTCAGGAATGCAGAGAGGAGAGAGTTGTATTGGGAGAAGAGGGAGCAAACTCCCAACAACTATCTAGACTAACTAACGTATTCGGTAAGCGAGTGACGCAGCCCAAAACACATAGTAAATGCGATAAATTATAACATGCTATTTCAACAACCAACGCTTTTATTTAATTGCATTACTTGCCGATAGCAATTGATAAGCTTTTTTAGTACCATATATCAATTTTGAATAAATCGAGAACTTGCATTGTTACGGTATCGAAAAATACATCGCTGAAGTCCAGAATATATATAAATCTCAGTCACTAATTTATAAAATTTCCCTAAACTCTAACAAGTGGTTAGATATCATACAAAAAGCATTATACTACAAGGAAAAGCTCATATAGACAACCGTTGTTGTAATATCGAGTTGTAATTTATCGCATTTACTATGTGTTTTGGGCTGCGTCACTCGCTTACATGCGTCACTCGCTTACCGGATACGTTAGTTAACGTATTTCACAAGCGACCCGCCACCCCAACCCAACCTACTAATTTCAAATGCATTTATCTCGACCAAAACGCCATTAAATTAAATAAACTAAAAACATCATCTATCTGGACATGTCTCTCTTCTATGCCCTAGCTTCCTACATATTCTATATGCTCGTCTAGCCTAGGGGGGGCGGTCTTAAACCTTCCGACACCTACTTACGATAGTTGTTAATACGCGCTACTTAGGCCTTAAATAGCTCCGAATATAGCTTACGAACCTCCTAAACTAAAAGATCCCCTTTATAGACTATCGTCCTTATAGATCGAGTTCGCTTTTACTTTTTCTTCTCGTTTTTAGCGTATAAATCGCTCATTTCTTTCTCTAGTAATACGGCGGATTATATTATGATCTAGTAAGCTTTTAAAACCTAGTTTATAGCGGAATTGAGCGGGCTCGGGGGGCTTTTTAATCTTATATAAAGTAATACTTTAATTAATAAAGCTTATTTTTATAATTATATATAGTTCGAGGGCGTTTTCGGATCCTAATCACTACCCTAGCTAGGAGGGGGGTTAGGGGTAGTAAGCCGGATATTAAACTTTAAAATCACTCTCTTCGGTATAAAAGGGATTAAACTAGTAGATTAAAAGCTATTTTTAACAGTCTTAGATTTAAAGGCTTCTATTCGTATAGTAGGGTATACTTTAAGAAAATCTAGTTTATTAATATAATTCGATCCGTACTATATTCGAAATTCAACTAGCCGGCTATAGACTCGTTTTAATACCGTAAAATAGCCTATATCTAAAGGCTATAAAAGGTAAAAAGAATATAGAGATATATAGATTAGTATAATCTTATTCTCTTTATAAATTTTATCGAATCTTAGGGTTAAATAACTTCTATAGCTATTAAGTATTAAAAGCCGATACCCCCCCCTTTATATATAAAGAAGTAGTAGGAATAAAGAGCTTTTTAAGCTAGCGAAGTCCAATTTTATTAAAGGTCTATCTATTAGAACTAACCTTAAATCTCTAGTCCTTTAGAAGGCTATCGAACTAAGATTTAATAAAGACTTTACCTTTAAAAATTATATATAGTAGAAAGGCCTAGCTAGTAGTATTTATAGGGGATTAATATAGAGACCCCCCCCCCAGCCTAGATCGACCCCCCCCCTGCCTGAAAATTCAGTACCGCCTTCCTAATCGGGTGCGACCCTGGATTCTGCCATACTTTCTGCCGGTGCAGAGTTTTCTGCCATTTTTTCTACCACCACTATATGAATTCTGGTTTACATAGTAAAAAAGCATGCATTTTGATCAGAAAAAATCGTACATTTTCATTGATTTAAGCATTTATATACTTATATAGGTTGAATATACTTCTTATATAGGTCCCCGCGCGCGGTTTCCACGTCCTCGACCGCGTCCTCGACCACGTCCCTATTCTCTAGTCTCGGTGTCACCACTACCAGTTTCACCACTACTTATTCCACGTCCCCTTCCCCGTCCCCGCGGCTATCCTCGTCCTTAGCCTCGTCCCTATCCTCGGCTCTCCTCCTATAACGAAGGATCTCGGTATATAGAACGATCTTAGGTTAACGGATCTAGGGAAGACTACAATTATTAGGTGCTACTAGCCTAGGTACTACTAGCCTAAATACTAAAATTTCTAGCTCCCTATAGACGTCCTTATTATCGAACCTAGAGGGGATCTTAGAGTAAAAGTAATAGATTAATAGGAGGGGCGTTAGCAATACTATATAGATACTAATACTAGTGGTAAAGGTCTAGTTTAAGAGATCTCTTATCCTATTCGTACTACCGGAGTATATATATATATAGGAATCCGGTAGTTTCTTTCGAATTGTAAATATATAAAGGGGGAATTTGTAGCTTACCTTCTTCTCTCTTAGGTAGATACTATCTATAAATATCTATTATAAGCTAGATTGCCCGTATTAAGATCCGGGTATAAAGTAGCTTATAAAGTAGTGGAATAAATATTAATCGAAGGGTCTTCTAGTTCTTAATCCTATATTATACCTTAGCGAATTGAAGCTCGACTAACTAGGTAAAACTAGTAAGGACTATAAGTAAGTCGTTATTCGAAACCTAGAGACTTTACTTAAATAGCTAATACGCACTCTTTATACGGGACGTAGCGATCTTATTAAGGTAAAGATACTATAATATATAGTAATAAAGAAACCTCTCTAGGTAGTTATCTATCTATTCCTTTTATATATAGTCTAGTAATAGGGTAAATAGGGGATCTATATATCGCTCTTTAAAAGTGATCTATTACCGGTCTTTTTCTTTAACTATAAGAGTATATATAATATAGTTCCACCGGCGGAGCATTTTCTTCTAACCCTCCTCGGCTTTTTTACAGTCTTCCTAGGCTTTAGCGGTAGTAAGGCGCGTATAGGGGTCCTATCCGAGGGCTTCTCGACGGTCTCGACGTATTTATATAACTTAATCGGCGAGAAGGGGGCGGGCTTTCTTTAAGATATTTATATTAATATACTAGATATAAATCATATTCTTTATATCTAGGAAAATAGTCTTAATAGTATTTATTAAGGCTCCCTCTTTATTAGTAAGGATTATATATAGGGGTATAAGGCTAAGAGATTTATAAGCTTCGGTAAGGTAGGTAAGTATTACCTAGTAATCCTATAAGGTATTAGTATTAGATAGTAGGGAGGGGATAGTATTAGGATCTATAGGGCTATACTTACCTTATATAAATTATCCTTTTCGTCTCGTATAAAGGTAAAGCTAATATAGAAGGTCATTCCGGTAGTAGTAAACCTAATAATATTAAGTAATAGAAGACTATAATAGTTAGTCTTATATATATAGTCTATAGAGATAACCTAAGGGTTTATTCGAAGTATTATAACGCTTATCTTATATATATAAAATAAGCTAGATATATAAGACTCGTTATCTAGCTCGTATTTAAAGCTCTAGCTACTATCCTTAGGGAGTTCTATTAATAATACTTAAAGGGGTATACGGCTAGCGAGGAATTCCTAGTTTAACTTCTAACGGGTATTATAGATATCCTAGGGGATAAGGATCGTATCGGGATTAGTTTTATATAGCTTAGTTATAATTTAATATATTATATAGCCTTACTAGACTATATTTTCGATCTTACCCTTCTTTTAGCTAAGCTCGAGAGCCCGCTAAATAGGGTAGGTTAATACCGGTAAATAGGGGTGATTATATATAGGATCCTTAAGTGTAAGGTGCTAAACGTTAGTCTATAGGTCTAGGTGAAGCGCTATTTTAAAGGGATATTCCTATATATAGGTAGTTATCTTCCGCTTTTTTACCGGAGGATCCGGTAGTAATTGCGGAGCATTCGATAATAATTATAGAGCATTCGATAGTGATTATAGAGTATTCGATAGAGGCTTACGGCTATAGTTATAAATTAGCCGAATCGTTTTCTTAACTCCTTTCTTTATAAATTTTAACCGGCGATATATTACTATATAGCTATACGGGCGCGTAAAGGTATTTATAGCCTCGACCCCTTTCTCGGGTATAGGAAATTGCTAGGGTAGCGGGGGAAGCGGGAATGTAAATGTCTCGGTGATTAGCTAGGTATACGACTAGGTGCTTAGTATTATAGGTAGAGACTCGGGGACGATCTTAGGGTCCGAATCCGATAATTCGAGGTATAATAAGCCTAAAGAGGCCATTTCGATAGCTAGAATAATGAAAAAAGCGTTTAAAACTAATAGATTTAATATAGATATAGATAGAAAAATGGGTTAGAAGAAGGTAGGTTAATATATATAAACTAGAATTGCATTATTAGATTGTTTACTACTCGAGTCCTATAACATATATAAGACTAAAATGACTTATTTTTACTATATGTTTTGTATACAAATTGTAGGTATCTACTGTCGTCCTATAGTGTTTAGGGGTAGTTTAACACGAAGGCGGTGTAAAACCTCGAAGGCGGTGAGGAAGGCGGTAGGCAGATATAGGTGTTGAGGTAGTGTCGTATTAGATTAGGAAGGCGGTGACTGAATTTTCAGGCAGGGGGGGGGTCGATCTAGGCTGGGGGGGGTCCCTATATTAATCCCCTATTTATACACTCGATAATAGTCACCTATTTACGATTTCTAAGTTATAAAAGTGCTCGCCGACTATAGTATTCACTTCTCGTAATCACCTTTATAGTCGCTATTAATCCTATCGTAAAACCGGTCTTATTAAAGTTATAAACGTCGTCCGGGTCGATCCCGAATTATAATATAATTTTTTAAATAAGATTAAACCACTCTATAATAACCTTAGATCTTTATATTTCGTACGCTTATAGTTATACCGTTTCGAAAACCGAGAGGATAAAAGAGGGCGTCTTTTTATATAGTTTATTACCTAGTTTTCGCCGACTAAAAGAACTAAGGTAGTTCCGCGCTTTTTAAGAAGAAGATTCGCTATTTCTCGTACTATAGAAGGCTAGGGGGCGCTTCTACATCGATCTATAGAGAGAATCTATTTTTTAAGAGATTCCTCTTCGATTTCTATTAGTTTATATAATTTAACACGAGAAATCGCGCGGTTTTAAATACCGTAGAGCCGATCGCGTAAGGTAGAACAGGGGACCTTATAAACACGCGTAGTAGATGTAATAGAAGTGATATCTCTATTTTTAAAAGCCTAGATAGCTAATAAGATCCTACCCTCTCTCTCTATTAAATTTTTAGAGGATTGAGAGCGAATTGGTGGCATGGTAGGTGGTTAAACTAGCTAAGATCTAAATTCATAGACGCGTTTTGGATGGGGTGGCGGGTCGCTTATGGTGGCGGGTCGCTTGTGAAATACGTTATGGAGAGGTTTATGCCTTAGGAACCAGGCACCCGCAACACACCCCCATAAGGCCAACCTCGAGGCAGAAACCATTTTGATTCATATAGTAAAAACTGCGTTATTTTTGTCGAATTTTTCACGTTTTTCATCGCTCAATTTGTCGATTCATAACACATTTGACCTTAGCATATAAGTTGTATGCATGCTAGAAAGGGTTTTTGTCGTTTTTCAATGCTTTTCAACGCTTCTTCTTATATATCATTTTTCGACGTATCTTCTCAAAAATCTCCCTTCCGAGAGGCTTTGTTAATATATCCCTATTAGACTTCGGCACGACCCACTATAACCCGAACCCAACCCAACCCAACCCAACCCAAAATAGGTTTTAGGTCCATTGCCTCGACCCAGCGATAGGTTTTAGGTTATAGGTAATAACCTAAAACCTATTAGGTAACCTATTAGGGCCCTAATATAGAGTAAACTAGCTAAATAGCCTTCTAGAGTAGAGCTATATAATTAATACACTTTTTACTTATAATATTAAGTATTTTATTTATAGGTAGGTCTTCTAGAATAAATAAGGATAAATTAGATAATTATATTAGGATATATTTCTCTACAACAACTTGGGCTTACCAAATGGCAGCCATTTTCGGCCTCGAGGGTCGCCTTTTTCGGCCGCCATCTGGTAACACGTGATAGGGCCGTCCCGACACGCCCATATGCAGCTACCACCACGCACCAGTTAGACCCACTCATAAGCGACCCCCTATACCACCTCCAGCCGTTCAGTTCAGTTCCTATACCTCAGCGAAGGCCAGTGTTAGCCTAGCGTTCGCGAAGGCGCTAAAAATGGCCTCACTATCTCAGCTCCTAGTCAAGATAGTATTTACCCGCCATAACCCCTTTCCTTCTATATATTTTCCTTATTCCCCTAGCTTTCCCTCTCCCTCTACCGAGACTACTTCTTTACCTATCGCCTATTCTATTCCTTTCTTCGTGCTTCCTTAGTCTATCATTTTTACTCGCCTAGCTATACGTATATAGCCCTAAAGAAATCAGTTACCTGTTACCAGCCAGATCTTCAATCAAAAAGAGTGCATTTAACGAGAATACTAAGTACAGAGAAGTAAAAGGAAAAGAAAGAAAGGATCCTTGAGATCAGAGATCCTTTGTGCGTGGGGTCCTGTCACATGCAAACAACAACCAAGGCGGAAACCTTTGGCAGAAACCTCCTCCGGAAACCTTTGGCAGAAACCTCCTCAGATCGTCACATAACCCCCGGCTAAAATTGCATTCAGTCTCTGAATGCTAGTTTGTCGTCATCAGCATGATCCTCGAGTATGACTTCATCTCTCGCTACATCAACCCAATCCTATAAACGCGTAGGAGGACCAGGCTTCAAAGGGTACTAGTCGTGGAAATCTTAGATCTTCTACGGAGCATGCTTAAAGTTCCCTGATAGGATACCATTATAGATCGAGATCATAACCGAGCCACTAGACACGATACTACAGCTTCCGGTAATATATTCTTAAGTCTATAATCTTATCAACCTCCCACTCGTCTTCTTCAGAAATCTTAATCGGTAGTAGCGGATCAATATATTATCCTCGAAAGGGTTCTAATATCGTCGCCTTCCGAAGTTTGCTTAGATTAAACACTAGATATACTCGGATCGAATTAGGTAGGTCGATCCGGTATATATTTCTAACCTTCTCGAGAATCTTATATAGACCACTAGTAAGATATAAGAGCTTTCGGCTAGGCCGATCTAACATCCAATCCTTTATCATTATAAAAATATAATCTCCGATATTAAAGTCTTCTTCCCGCCGTCGCTTATTTACCTATTAAATCATTTTCTATTAGGAATCGGCAATCTACTACTTCGTCTTATTCTAGATATTATAAAGCCGGGTCAATATATCAACGGCTTCTCGTTCATTCTATATTATAGTTCCTTAGTCTCTCTAGTCAAATAATATAGAAGGTTCATATCCTCGTTTAATAAAGAAAGGTAACTTCTTCGTTATCTCCTATAGGAGAATCGATACTACAAAATCAACTATTAGTAAACACTCTAACTAGTTATCCTAGTTAAATTCCATATATAGCCTCAATCTTTATACTATATACTAATTCGTAATCTCACTCTAACCATCGGTCTAAGGATAATAAGCTATAGAAAGCTTTCTCTTAATTCCTAGGATTCGGCAGAACTCCGCCTAGAACTTAGAAATAAACTAACCACCTCGGTCTAAAACAATACTATCAGGTATACCCACACTCCGGAGTATATGATCGATAAAGAGTCTCGCTATTTACTTCGTTATTATCTCCTTATAATACGGGACTAAGATTAGTCTTTTACTAAAACGATCTACTACTATATAAACTACGTTATAGCTATAACAATCTCTAGAGAATAAACGGAAATCTATTATAATATACTACTAAGGTCTTTCAGGGATTAGAAGCGGGTATAGAAGTCCTAGGGTCCGATCGTGCTAAGGCTTAATTCGTTTATATATCAGATAGTTATAGACGTATCTTTCTATATCTTTTAATAATTTAGGCTAATAATATCGTATAGTAGTTATCTTTTTTAGTTTCTCGATACTAGGGTAGGCTATTATCGGCTAACAGTATATATTATCGAGCAATCTAGCTTATAGATCACCTTCGTTAGGAACTTCAAGTCGTCCTTTAAAAAGGAGGAGTCTATCTTATAATATCTAGTAATCATTATCTCCGTTTTCGGCGATTCGGCGGAATTCTACTAGTTCTACACTCTATCAGTTAGCATACTTTACCCTTTCTATAATCTCCTAGCGTTAAGTATCCTCTAGATCGATAGGACTAACCTCGACCTCTAATTGTATACCTTCTTCTAGATATTCTATAGGTAGAAGCGTAATTTATCGACTATTATCGGTATATAGTGTTTCCTTCCGCGATAGAATATCTACGATAATATTCTTTTTACTAGGTCGATACTTAATTAGGAAATAAAACTAGGAGAGAAATTCACTCTATCTTATCTATCGTTAATTTATTTATCGGGTGGTTATAAAGTACTCTAAAGACTAATAATCTATAAAGATCTTAAAGCGATCCTTTTAGGAGAGTCCTTCGAGTTTAGGTCGCTATTCTTATAGTATATAGACAATCGCTAGAAGCTCCTTATTATATATCTTATAGTTCATCTCTATAGACTACATTATTTTCGAAAAGAATGCCACTAGATACTAGAAATCATCGTCCTTATAATACTAAAAGAGAACTACGCCAAATACTCTATCTAAGATATCTATTTCTACTCGGGTCCGATAGATAGTATCGTAATAGCGGAGAACAGGTACACTTATCAGTTTCTCTTTTAGAAGCTAGAAAGCTACCTTATAGGATAGAGACCAATTATAGGGAATATCTTACTAGGTTAAACGGTATAAAGGCTTCGAAATAGCGCTATATCCCCGAATAAATTGTCGATAGAAATTACAGAAACCTAAGAACGACTATACTCCTTTCACTATTAATAGGGGCTTCTATAGCTAAATTACGCTAATCTTCTCTAGGTCGACTATAATACCCTCGGTACTCACGATAAAACTAAGAAACTTCGTCTTAGTAACAGCAAATTCACACTTTAATAGTGCTACCTAGAGACCTACTTCTTATAAACGGGAGAGTACTTCTCTAACCTACTATCTATACTCCTCGAGAGTCTTACTATAGATTAAGATATCGTCTATAAATATAACTATATAGTCGTCTAGACATTCTTTTAAAATGCTATTTATAAATCGTTAAAAGGTAGCGGGACTATTAATTAGGCCGAAAGGTATAACCTTATACTTAAAAGATCCATACCTTATACAAAAAGTTATAAGATCTTCTACTTCCGGTATTAGACGAATCCGATAGAAACCTTATCGAATATCTAACTTTATAAAGAACTTAGCCTTACTAGTTCGCTATAAGACTTTATCAATTAGGGGTAAAGGATAACAGTCCTTCTTCGTAATAGCATTTAGCTTCCGGAAATCCATATAAAAACGGAGACCACTACCAGGCTTCTTTACTATAAGAATTAGTAAAGTATATAGTGCGGCACTCGGAATAATAAATCCTTTATCGAGATTCTTAATAATATACTATTTTATAGCTTTTAATTCATTAAAAGAGAGCTTATAAAGAGGATAGTATCCTAGTTAGGCTTCGGCTTTAAGAATGATATTATAATCTATACCAGGCCGATATAGAGGTAGTTTATCTAATTTCCTTTTCGAGAACACTTCGGTAAGGTCATAGTATTCCTTTAGTAACGTTCTCTTAATTTCATCAAGCTTAAGATCTTTTTCAACAGATGATTTTATAGAAAGAACTCGATCGATCTTATAAAATAAGGTTATAAAAATCTCGACTCCACTCTCTAGATCTCTTTTTATCTTTAATTATAGTCTGTTAAATCCGGCTCTACTAATAGCACTAATATCGAGAGGTAGCAGCGGTAGTTCTAAGTCTTCTTCCTTTTCGAAGGAGATTAGAACATTAGGGATTTTATTATTAATATTTCGGACCATCTTTCTCTTTTCCTTCACCTACTAATATCTATATTATCTTTTACAGGCATAAGGATAGATACCACTCCGGAGCTTATCAGTTTACTAAGACTACTCTAAGAGACGATCTCTACAATCTATATCTTTCTAATAGGCTTCACTCTATAGAGATCTCTATACAATAGCTTTCGGTATTAGGATAGAGATTTTACTTACCACTTCATCGAATAACGTTCTCTCATCTAGCCAGATTATACAGTATCGTCGGTAGTCAAAAAGAATATCGTACTCTATAAACCACATTCGCCCTAGGATCATATCATATCGTCCGAGGTCTACAATTAGTATTAGAAT